GCTTATTCTTGGGCTATATGTGGCTATACCATATTAGCATTTCTCCAGAGAGGGGCCCCTTGCATTCAGATCAGCGGCCAGCTCCCTGATCGCGGAGGACAGCTTACTAGGCCCCTTGAATTGTTCCGCTCTAACAATGGCTTCCTTTGTCAATGTGTTTCTCTTTCTCTACACTGACAATACAGGAGGGTACTTCTGGCTCTCTGCACTTAAGACATGTTTGCAAAATTACATCACTTCATAAGGCTCTTCAGACAAGTACCAGTGCCATAGTTTCAAAGTAGCTGGGATTTTAATCCGGTTTTTGCGCAGTGATTTGGCATAGGTTTGAAAAAAAGAGAGGAAAAAACACTGGCCCCTTTCTGTTTATGAAGCACATGAAATACACTAAAAGGAAATAGTAGCAACCACTCTTCACCTGCCATATAAACCCCAGCTACTCTGACGTGCTTGTGGCGCGTATGACTCCGCGTCGACCTTTCTTCTCTTCTTGGCGCGTCCAGGCCGTGAGCAGAAGCCCAGCTGTGCACTGCGCACACACAAACAGCCATAATTTTCATTTTTCTTGAGAGCCTCAACACCCCAACTTCAAGATTATTATTATTATTATTATTATTATTATTATTATTATTATTATTATTATTAGTAGTAGTAGTAGTAGTAGTAGTAGTAGTAGTAGTAGTAGTATTATCATTTGAATACTGAGAGCTGCAGCTTTATGATGTAGCTGCTGTTAGCCTATAGAATGTTATTGGCTGTAATCAGGCAAATTTGATTGCTACAGTCAGATGAACATGGATGGAGTAGTATGGACTGTATTAGCCTACTGTACTACCTATTCAAAGAACTTATAGGAATCACGCATATTTACGTGTCCACACAGCGCTAAAACGCACTGCACATTAGAAAACCCATAGCTCCAGGGGCCACAGCGCGCACCACTGGGGCCGATTCTGCTCCATCTTTTGTTGGCGGCTATTGTGGGGGCTGCGTGTTGGGATTGGGGGTGTAATGAGGAGGCTGCGACCCCCCGATGGGGGTGCATTTGCTGTCCAAAGACCGTTAGACAGCGGCTGAATGAATGGGGCCTGGATGTCATTGTAATGCACATGGACAACTCCCCCTTCATTGAGCCTCAGAAGCGGAGGCCGCTGCTCGGCGCTGGCCGGCAGCAGAAAAGCGAGAGCAGTTCTCAGTGGGCAGCGGGCTTTGGGTGCAGGACTGTATTTGCTGCACACAACACGAGGCCGGAAAGCCACAAAACGGAATGGACCTGATGGATCAAACAAGCGCTGTACTGTGGATAGACGCACCTATCGCATCAAAGACGGGACAAAGGATTTACTCGTAGGTTGGACTCATTTAAACAGGCCAATGAACGACGCACACCTCCGCGGCAGGTGGCCTCACTACTGTAGCTTTATTAGCCACTTCACTCCGTACTTAGCATTGGAAATCCGCGCATTAGCTCTGACTTATTGATGACAGGACTAATGCAGGTTTTGAAATGTAGATTGGTGACATTAGACAATTGAAGCAGTTAATAAGTGCGTTGGATAAGATAAAGAGCGCATTTGCGATTCTAAAGGCTACGTTAGAAGAGCGGGGACCAGCGTATCCTCTTGAACAGCGCACCCCCTTTGTCCACCCAACAGTGGGAGGCAGCGAGCAAAAAACGCTTCCGGGACACAAGCCCTTATTTGCAAATATTGTATTAAAACATTGTACACATGTAAAGGTAGTAAGGAAGACTCACAATCTAAGACAACAGCACGCTGTAGTGCATGTACTGAGCACAACTGCAAATGGGCCATCAAAGTCAACACGCAAAGTTTAAATATAAAGAAAACTCCATTCAGACAATTTGAATATTTGGCTATTCTAAATGTTGAACAAGCGTACCGTATCCTTACGCACACGCTTTGTTGTTTGATGAGTTTATGTGCCCCAGTTGAATCCTAGGCCTCATCACCAGGCGTTAGGGTGAATACGTGAGCTTTATCTTTCGAGTAAAACACACTGAATGTGACATAATGCTGGTGATCACAAAGTGTTAAAAGTGCGAGAGGAGAGACTTGTGCCTTTCTGTAATAGCTGCGTAGAATCAGGTGCACCAAAGGGCCCCCCCTTAACAGGGTTGTTCCTCGAGTACCCTTGTGCATCCTATAGCCTCCATGTTTTGGTAAACGCTATCCACTACAGCTCTTTATCAACAGTGTGTCTGCGTGTGCGCCTGACGCGCTGCAGAAAGTCAGTCAGTCGGTTTCAAGGACATTCAGGGCTGATGAGGATTTAGTTTTAATGGGGGTAGGAAAAGAGGGGGGCTTGGGCCCTGGGCCATGACGTCACGATACGTCCATGTAATCCTCTTGCGTCGAAGCCCAATCAGCGGAGACTCGGAATTGTCGGGATGGGAAGAGAGGGCGCTCTAATCCTGGAGACAGTGGATCACAGCCGAGAGAAAGAGCGCGCGAGGGCACGCGGCCAGCGCACCGGATTGAGCCTCAAATGGGCCAGATTAAAACGCAAAGCAATGGAACAAGTGATTCGGGAACCGGGACTTTACTGAAAAGTGAAGAGGATTTTTGTTCCACTTCTTATAGCCTCTACGGTAGAGACACGTAGGGAAGTGATAGAGAGCCCAGTGGCCAATAGAAGAATCAGATGTTGCCTTATGTAAAGCCACAGTTTGTGTATCTTCTCAGATGCACGAGAGAGAGGAGGGCGTTGATCATCTCCGGAGGAGCTGTAGCCAAGCCAATGGACCATACAACACGGAGTGGATGTACCTTGCCTGCTCTTCGGCTTTGTTGGTTTAGGAGGCTTTAGCAAACTCTGCTGATGGTTGTTCTTGCATTGCTGTAATTTATGGCGAAACAAGAAGCTTTAAATGCTTAAATGCTGTCGAAGTGTCCTTTATAGGCTTTGTTAGAATGAGAGATAATTTGGCATGCTTTGTCCATTATTCAGCCGAGCTGTGCATTTGCTGGTGTTGTACGCAGAGCTGTGGCGCAGTCATATCAATATCTTTGCATAGAGGTGCAGAGTGTGCCCGCGCGTAATAGTGCTGCTGCAGGCGATAAATCTGCTTCCAATCGGAGTGTTTGCGTGTGCGTGAAGAGTGCTGGAAATCCGCTTTAGGTCTCTGTATTTGTGTTGCATGCACGCAAATGAGGTTGTAGTTAAAAGCCTTTGCGCGATGTGCTCCATGGAAGATGTATGTGCGTAAGTCACGCGAGGTTAAAGGCTCTGTATCCGCAAGCGAGGTGACAGGGCGCCTTTTGGATGGGTTGTCACTCTGCGTGTTCACAGCGGACCTTGATTTAATGTCCATACAATTAAGGCACGCGGTGAATGCCAAGAGAGGAATCTACATGCTTCGCACTGTATACGCACAAATGTAAAAACTGAACGTAGTGTCCTTATTTTTAGGGGAGCAGAGGGCTGGTGGTCCTGGAAACACATTACGCGTGTTTTTGCACAAACGCACGGGTTTATGTGTCATGTCAAATGTGTAAATGCTTCCGTTAGTGCTTCTGTTTTCGTCTGGTCTTGTGCTTATTGCTTTGACAGCCCACTGGACTTTTAACAGATCGGACATGGGCCTTTAGGCCTTTTGAGGACAGAGTTAGTCTGCCTGTCAACTTGTGTCTTACAATTCAAGGGCTTCATGTTGATGTAAGGCATAGTGATGACTAGAATGTTAAATGAATCATTGTATGTAAACTTATATTACAATGCCAAATGCGGTTTGTTTGAGAAAAATATATGTCCTTTGCTGAACAAAGGCTCGTAATTCTGAGCACTTTAAATCTGACCTTCCCAAAACAAATTACTAAAGCTCAGGTGTTTTACTCCATAATGTGATCAACCGCATATATGGCCCCAAATACTTCAAAACTGGCGTAAGCCTCTCATAGAAGGCGTTAATAGTTAATAGTGCCCCCTACTGGATGGGAAAAGGATAACTTGGCGCTTTGCCAAATGTAACGTTATTAAAACTCGAAAGCATCATAGTGTACAATTCTTTTACTGATCAGTGTGCTCAGCCTGTAATAGTTTAGTATTCATTTTTACATAAGGAATTCCTGGATAGGCTTAGATAGGCGTTTATGGCATGTATGGCTTCCATTTTAGGTAATCAAAAAGATGCATTATTAAAAGGTCTTGCAAAAATGTTTCAGGCTTTACATAGAATGGTGTTTGCACTCATGCACCCTGAGATTAAGCATTGCATTCAGTACTAACATTTTTAATGTTTTTTTTTCTTTTTTTTTTTCTTTTTTTTTAGATCTATCCTTATTACAAAGTATAGATCGAAATGTCAATAGGCTAAAATAGCAACCTGATTTAAACATGTTTAATCAAAATACATATTGTAGTCAAATCTACTGAGGTTAGAAAAGAGGGTTCTGTCTGTACATGTAAGATTGTGATATACTCTGTAACAATGTGATCAAATAAAGTGTTTCTATTTCAAATGGTCTTTATTTTGTTATGCATTTTGTGAAAACAACAGCATTTTTTCACCACAAAATTACCCCCATTCAAGTGCATTAAAATAGGGTTTCCTTTTGTGGAAAAAAGTTTAGGAAATATATTTGTATATAAAATTGGAGGAGAAATGTTCTGCTGATTGGGTTCCTAGATCAGCACCCTGGAGAGCTCCGTATGTATAAAGACTGAGCAATAATATTGTGAGGAAGTGGGTCTCTTTAGCCAGCCCAGCAGAAGACTATAAATTCTCCTTCATCCTTGATAGAGTAAGACAACGGAAGGAACTAACTCAACACTGTAATCCCTTCAGTGACATTTAAGCCCTGGGACTGCCCCGTGGAGCTCACTTTAAGGTCATTGTAGCTTTAAACCCACTAACACAATTCACAACATCAAGACAAGGTAATTGCTGAATGGACAGTTTATTAAGGCTTGATTTCCTCTAGAAAGAAAAACCAAGATAGATCTTTTTGAACAGGTTATTATGCCCACTACAACTGTGGTCTATAAGATAATCAATGTTTATTTAATATTTCATGTCCTTCTTGTAGTGTAGATACATAGACTTTTATGGCTAAATCTTTTACATCATGTCTCTGTTACATCATACATCTTCAGACATTTTCTCTTCTCACAGTGCCATTGTAGAGCCCTTCCCATGCACTCAAAACCAGCTTTCCTGAGGGCAACACTGATGTCTTCGGTCCCGCCTTTCACCTTGTCAAAACGCAAAGGGCATATTGCTTGGCTCAAACCTAACCTAGCTACTGATTATTAGTGCAGGGAAGAAGAAAAAAACACAAAACAGGTGTGTTAAAAGAATTCACTAAACTACAAATGATATACTGGCCTGGTGAAATGCTGCTTCACACGTGGGTCATATGAAGAGTTTACTTCATGGTCTGGGAACTGCAGGGCACAAATGTGGTTTTGACATGGCAAGTTGTGCTACTGGTAGCCTACTTTATCTACAGAAGTACCACTGTGTTTTTCAAAAAGAAAATGATGCATAATACATAAACAAATAAAGACATTTCAGAACACTATGCAATCACTATTCGCAGCATTCTTAGTATAATGGAATATTTGCCATCAGTAAAATACTGAATTATTGAATAGAACCAATAAGTGACTTGTCTTCCTCTCGATTGCAAGCATAACATTACTGTGTCCTCATTGTCAAGATGCACATGGATCATTTAGAATTATTCTTATTACTGGATTGCAGCTTGACATTAAACCACAGACATTTGACATTTTTTAAAAGTATTTTTTGTTAATAATGGTTTCGGCTAAGCAATATCCAAGAAACACACAGAAACCACTTTTCATTCTTATTTTTTCTTACTTGATAGTAAATCAGTTACATTAATTTTAGGTTATACATTTTTAGGCTTTCTCCATGAATATATATACTCCTACATTAAAGCTTAGCATTATGACCAACATGATAGATTCATCAAAACCAAATCTAGGTGGGGAGGGGCAAGAACAAAGGATTAAGACAGAATGATGGTGAATGAACAAATATATGAACCCTCCCCCCTTTTGTGAAACAAAACACCATAGCAACAATTCATTTAACGCAGCAGTAATATCATTACATAATTCTGATATTAAAACAATTTAAAATGGCGAGTGAAAGATCTCTCTGACTGGGTTATGTAAAGAAGCCGAACCTCCCAATGAAACACACAAGTATCTAAAAGACAATTAACAGAAAGCAACGCCATGGGGTGCCAAAGATGTCAAAAGTACAATTTCTGATTTGAATGAGTTCTGGTTGTGGAGGACACATCAGTTATTACTTTCCCAGAGGCCTTTGCTTTTCCTCCTTTGAAATGTCTCAAGTCCTGTGTGACTTCACACTATCCCTGATTTCTCCAGCAATGTCACTGTTAAAGCAGTTCTTTTGAAGAGTCACCAATAATTAGAAAAAAAATTAAGGCTCCAGAAAACAGGTTTCTGAAATGAAAATTGTCAGTAGTAAGCCAAAAAATATAGATTCTGTTGATCTGAATGAAAAATAGATAAACCCTTGAAGTTTTAATATCACGCAGTTCCAAGTCTGACATTGCCTTTGGGATCCGCTAACCCTGTTGGCACAGATAAATTCTGAAGCATGGCAATGGTGCCCCCATGTGGATAAAAGGGGCAGGACACATCCGTTCCTGATTGTATTGAACTATAAAGTGGCAGATATTTTCCGTGGTGCAGTCAAACCCTGATTTGATTGACTTAGAAGGATGAGCAGGGGAGATAGGACCAGTCCATGAGAGAAGACGACAAGATGGTAAAAACAGGAGGAAAACTAAAAAAATGTGTGGTGGTGACCAAGTAACACATAAAATTTTGTTTTCCCTGCACAAGAAATGGATAGCAAATGGGGCAAAGAAGCACAAATTTCAACATTGGCAGAGATTTGCCAGGATAAAATGGAAAAAAAATGAAGGGCTTTGTTGCATTTTCATCTTCAATCTCTTAAATCAAAAGTTCTAGTGTAACTGCTGATCAAGCCAAGGATAAATGTTTTCTATTGTTTATTCCGGTTTTGGCGTTCCTGTTGGAAACAAAAGATAAGCATTTAAAGACATTTTAGAGGGGCAAACTTCATGTAAATACTAAAGAGCATTAACTGCATTTTAGATAAAATATCTTACCTGATCCAATCGAGAGCGGTTCTGTATTTGAGGCGGTTCAAAAGTCTGTCACCAGAAGTAAAGAGAAAATACATTTAGTTTCTCTGGGCATTGGACAATCATTTGTTATTAAAACTGAGTAAAGTGGCGTACCTTGCGCACCTCTTCCTCCTCCTCCTGCCTCTTCTCATAGTGGGAGAAGTCATCAAAGATGGAGGTGGTGTGTTTGTACTGCGCAATGATCTTCAGCACCTGCTTGGCCTTCTCCAGAGGAACCTCCTGAGTGTCGCGGGAGTTTGTCACCGGTTTGTTGTCGTTGTTTTCCAGACGGATGTGGCGCAGTTGGCTGTTAGGCACATCTTTAACAAACAACCAGTCCACATCAAACTTGCCCTTCCACTTGTCCTGTGCCCATACGCCAGCGCTGGTGCCATAGTCCACTGGTGAGCGCATTTCTGCTACACCACAAAAATGGCCGCTGCCGTTCACGCTGAACAACAGATAGACGGGACCTTTTCCATTCATGGCTCTGAATGCTGCGTCCAAGCGCTTGTTTCCGTGCTCTGTGCTACACCATATGGAGTACTTGATGGACCGATGGATATCGTCCTCAGAGTAGCTCTTAATAATGAAAACACGGCCATTCTTCAGATTCCACTCAAAGTCCTTGGGGTTGTAACTATGAGAGGCACGCAGTTTCTCCAATACTGGATGGGACTCTCCACCAGGTCCCTGGCTCACTAAATTCTGTGGGCCACCATTTCCTCCTACTATTCCCATAACACTGCCATCCTGGCTAGGACTGCCCTGCCCGTAGCCCTGGTTCCGGTTGCGTGGAGCGACCCAACGGGTTTGGGGCTGTGGAGGCTGGGTGTGGTTCTGATAGGGCTGTGGTGGGGGTTGGTGGTGGGGCTGGGGCTGTAAGGCCATTGGCTGCATCTGGGGCTGTACCAGAGACTGAGGAGGGGGCTGCAGTGGACCCTGTTGCATGGGGGGCTGAGGTGGGAGACCATGGGGCAGGCCGAGGGGCTGCTGCTGCAATGGAGCTGTGGCTACTTTAGTCACAGGACCCTTGTCCCAGGTTCCTATGTTCATGTTGTGTTTGATGGGAGGGGGAGGAAGAGCGCCCCCCGGATTGGACATCCCTGATTTCACTTTTGACTTAAGCTGCTGGGGTTTGGCCGGCTTACTGGCGATGGCAGCCCAGGAGGTTGGTTTGGGTGGTGGCATGCCGATGGGTGTGGCTCCGTTCCCGGTGGCTGCTACAGCTGGTCCCCCAATCACAGAGCCCACTGCCTTCACCCCTGAGCCCTGACCTGTGACGTCTCCTCCGATCTTCAGCCCCACCATACCCTGCTCCAGACTGTTCATGCCAGGGGCCTTGTTGAGGGTGTCACTATGAAAGCCTGTCTGCCCATCAGGCACCAGGGTGCCCCCTAGTGAACTAGGGGGGTAACTGTAGCTGCCACCATATGTTGAACTTTGAGTCTGCTGGCCCTGGGAACCACTAGTGCCCCAAGCAGAGAATGCAGGGTTTTCAGGAAAAAAGTTAAACCTATGGGGGTAGATGCTGCTGCCCAAGCCCCCCGGCTGCCCAAACATGGTGTCCGGCATAAAGTGATGGTCTCCATTACTCAGTGGTCCATAGGGGGTGAGATAGGGAATTGGAGGGTCCCCACCTGTAGACCAAGGTGCTTCACTGAGAGGGTAAGGAAATCCAATAGACGGAGCATAGTAACTGGACAGGTAAGGGTCTGTGATGGACTGGTAGCTGTTGTTCTGGATGGCAAAAGGGCAGATGGAAAATAATCAAATTGTGAGTATTTAAAACAGTTCTACATGTTCATATTGAAAAAAGGGGTCTTTACCTGAGTTGATTGCCCAGGTGTAAGGTATGGCTCAAAATCGTTGTCGTGGACAGTCTCCTTCTGATGCAGTGAACCATTTTGCACTGAAAAGGCACAATACAATAAAATAATTAAAAAGTCATAAAACATATTTGAACAAATGTTCCTGCAATGCAATCCTACAGTCCTGTCAGGAAGTCTTATCATCATAACAAAAAGGAAAACAGTATGTGCACCAAGTTTGCATATTATGGTAAATGCTGTAAAACAAACAAAAGTATTTCCAGTGGAAGAGTTTGACTATTTGTTCTTCTGGTGAGAGTGGAAAATAATAGCCAAATTTGACATTAAATCTGGCCTAAGGGCTCTGCCAAGATATCAAAATACTTGTCATTCTTAATCTTGTCACACAGTATCAATACTGTACACTGCTGTAATACTGAGAAGGGAGATAGTGCTCAAAACGAAGTTGTGGCAGCCCTACACCTGAGTGATATAATCACAAAATAAATTATGCAATCATGTACAATAGAACAAGGATGACCCCAGCTTAAACTCACCTTTAGATGCTTGCCCCTTTGATCTCTGCTTCCAGGTGGATCATGCAAAAAAAGAGACAGAATATTACAACGTTTTTTTTGTTTTTTTTTTAAAAGTTCACAATACTCTCCTATGATGACTAGTTACTTGAAGGACAGTCTAAAGAGACATCCAAAGGAAAGATCTTTTAAAATAATAGTAGTATGAATGCCCTAAAGTACAAATCATCGCGTAGTGAATCAGACCTTTGATGAAATTGCAACAAACACGTCATTGTTGACTATTAAACAAGTTAAAAACACACTGTGACCGATGACATTAATTTACAATTACTATATATAACTGAAAAGCACAGATTTCTTTCCACAACTATACATTGCCTCGTACTTTAGTATTAGGGCAACGTTGAGACAAGAGTTTTTTTTACAGTTTCGATATGGCAAAAATTTTGCCATCTTTTAATTTTATCTTTTTATATCTTTTGACAGTAATACCTACAAATTCTGCTATGTAATCGTATAAGATCTGTCATATAACAACGATTTCTTGTCAGATAAACCGGGCAGTGTTAGTGGCTAGTTAGCACTTCCGAGGAATAGCTGTAGCCCTGTAAATGTTAGCACAGTTAGCTCCGAGCTAATAGATTTGAGGCTCATGCGAGGCAGGCTACATCATCCTTCCTACCTGAGGGTCAATGCTCGTGGTAGACATAATTCATTAAGCAAGTCCTTGGATTCTCACAGAGTCCGGGCTTGTGACTGTATTTCCAGCCCCGTGATAGGAAAGAAACTTCACAGCACAGTTGCAGTTAGCACTCAGGGCTAATGTGGCTAGTTATGCCGCTAAGCGTAAAGGCTCGTAGTCGTAGCGCAGGCTCAGCTGTGTATTTTCCGATGAATCCAACTTCTTCACTTCAAGTCTTTCGCTTCGTATCAGGAGATCAGGCGAGTCTCTGTGAAGGAGCTCAAGTTCAGCTTATAAATGGCCGTATGGACCTGTTGTGTCTCCTATCTTTGGGCCCCTCTGGTCGCCTGATACTTGTCTTTTTTATTCCTCAGAGCCCTCCTCAGTTGCGTTAAAGCCCCGTGCACTTCCCCAATGGCCGCTCCATCCGGGCTTTGAGACACCGCTGTAGTTTGGGCCGATCACCGCAGGGTGGCAAAGGGTGACGCTCCGCTGCTCTTACACCAGCTGCAGTGGAGTCGGGAAGTACAGTGAGTCTTTCAATGGTTAGTGTGAACATGGGCCAAATCAAGATGAGATACTTTGAAAAGCGCCAGTGTGCACTCTACACACTGGACTACCACAATACTAATGTCATATATGTTTTATTATTACCATATTTATTACTAATACAAATTGCAACTAAGTGAACGCACTCGACTTAACTTGATCATAAAGTTTTTTTTGTTTTTTTTTTCCCCCCCAGTAGACCATGCAGTTGTCCTCTTCCACCACTAGATGGGAGCATTAGCCTATGAGCTCAGACCTCTCTTAGTTCTGCTGGTTTCACCTATTTCATATTCTCTTTCATATGACAGTAAAATCTTTTTTATTTATGGAATTTCATATTCATTTAGTTTGATAATTTATTAAATCACATTTTAGCTCTTTGCTCTTTAAAAAATGTTATTTTATTAAATTTCTGCTATCTCGTTTCTGAATCTCGAGTCCCCAGAGATCATGAAAGCAACATAACATTCAAACAGATTTACCTGGGCTATTTTGAAGCCGAGATTTCCCAGGGGGTGGAGCCACATGTTTGGCTGTCATTCATGTAAAAGATCAATAGGCCTGACCTTCTGGCATGTAGGGGCTGTTCTGGAAGGTAGTGTCCTGTAGGTTACTGTCCAAGCCCCACACTATCTCCGTGGATGTGATGTGCTGCACTCAACTTCAGTGAGGTCTCCACTATGGACCGCAAAACGGATGACTGGCAGAGGAAAAGGAACAGAACACCCTATTCCCAGTATTATGGATGACAGAGTGACTATGTTGCATTTACTGGAGGAGCCTCAGATGAGACGGGAAAGAAACAGACTTCAGACTTTTCAGAATTGGCCATTAGAAGCCCCGGTTAGATCTACAGACCTAGCCAAGGCGGGGTTTTTCTATCTAGGTCCTGGAGATAAAGTTCAGTGCTTTTGTTGTGGAGGTGTTTTGAGATGTTGGGTGCATGGGGACAGTCCTGTAACAGAGCACAAAAGACACTTCCCCACCTGCAATTTCATTTTGGGGCGAACTGTGGGGAATATTCCACTGCAGGATGGTTCATCAGACTCGGTGGATGGGCAGCTCTTGAGTCAGCTCCAAAGGATGACCATGGACGACCAGGGCACCACGGGTCAGGCTGTGTACCCTGAGATGGAGGAGGAGGACACCCGGCTAACCACCTTCCATAACTGGCCTACAGAGGCATCGGTACAGCCAGATGTTCTTGCAAGAGCTGGATTTTTCTACACAGGTTAAATGTTTAGATCTCATAGAAGTGATTTTGAAACATTTCATCAGTACACTGACATTTACTTTGAACAGAAATAGAAAGTAGTTGTAAGTAGTAATAGAAAGTAATAATCTGTTTCAAAATATATGTGTAAAATGTTTGCCCCTCTCCTGGTTGTTGCCAGAGAGAACTGTCTTTGTCAGTGAGTTCATGCTTTGTTCTGCTGAGTCATGAGGTCACTGGCAGAATGACCCAGACACAGCTGCTAGAGTAGTGCATTCATGTCACAGGAAAACAAGAACTAAAACTACATAAAATTGCGTATACTGTAACTGTTAAATATTTTGTCTGTGTTTTACCAGGGCATGGGGACAATGTCAAGTGTTTTTTCTGTGATGGAGGCCTGAGAAACTGGGAACCAGGTGATGACCCCTGGCAGGAACACGCCAAGTGGTTCCCAAGGCAAGACTGACATTTGGTCAAAAAAGCTTGAAATCAGCTGTGCTAGTGCCCTGCTTTAGAACTCGAAAATGTCACCATTCTATTTAAAAAATAAATAAATAATAAAATAATAAGTATAATCTTTTCCCAGATGTGAGTTTTTGATCCAGTCCAGAGGGCAGGGCTATATCAGTAATATTCAGGATGCCCATTTTCATCTTGGGGAAACTGTGGTGAGTCTTGTGGATTTTTATCAATAGCTATCTGTTTGCTGGTTGTTAAGTGCATCTTTTCTTCTTTTTGTCAGAGTGGATCACAAAATACTGCTCGAGATCCTGGCTCCAGAAATGGTATTTAGCATTTTAAAAAAGCTTTATAACTGTATAATTTTGATTAGCAAACTTCAGAAATGAAAAACTGCAGAGAAAAGAAATTAAGAGATCTGTCAACATGATGAAGCTTCTTGATTCTAATATGAATGTGCTAGTTGCACCCAGGCTAATAGCTGAATCTCATAGTAATTAGGGACCTCTAGTCAAATAATTATTCTGTTAATTAATCCTCATGGGCACTCATTGGCACACTATACTATGTTAACACAGTGTAATGCCATTTTATCTAAAATAAATACAATTTAGAGAGGATATCTGTATATCTGAATGACTTTCTGTATTTGTTCCCCTAGATGTGGTCGGTGGAATGGGAATGTCCTCGATTATGCTCTCTCCTGTGGTACAGACAGTTCTTCAGATGGGCTTTGAGGCTAACCTTGTGGAAAGCCTGGTTAAAACCAAGTACCTCCTGACTGGACACTTCTATACTTCTGTATCTGATTTAGTCACTGATGTGCTACAGGCAGAGGAAGAGGACAGACAGAGGGCACCCACCAGCAGAGGTAAAACTATAATTGTTCACTCTGTACAGGGAGTATTACCCTTATTCACGCTAATTGTCAAATACATCTTAATTTTTAGAGCCAGAGGTGAGACAGGGGACTAGCTGCGGAAATACAAGATCCCAAACTGCTCTTAAAGAGAAAGGTAAACGAACATTATTATAAACACGCTACTTGCACCATCATTTATTAGGATGACATTACATTCACTGCATTCATCACGTTTCTTCTCTTTGTTGAATAATATGCATTATTAATATAAAAGTAAGTCTTTATTTATATAGTACTTTTCACAGACATTTTTTGTCCCCAAAGATGCTTTACAGAACATTATTCAGCATTATTCATTCAGCATTATTCAATCACTTTATACCTGGTGATGGTAAGCTACTATTGTAGCCACAGCTGCCCTGGGGCAGACTGACAGAAGCGCTGTCAGAGACTGTAGGGATAGACTGATGGAAGCGAAGCTGCCAGTTTGTGTCATGGGCCTCTCCAACCACCACTAATCACCCACACAAACACCATTCATACACAAAGGCAAGGTGGGTGAAGTGTCTTGCCCAAGGACACCATGACAGTATGCGCTGGTCACAGCTAGGGTCAGACTTCAGGGTTGGTGGGTGCTCTAATCAGTGAATCAGGGCATTCCAAATTGCTCATCACACAGGCTTGTTGAATATGAAGGTATTGTGTTTATTTAACCTTTCACTAAAGAGGACTATGCCACAGCACTGGTTATGGCAAAGATATTTATTAGTGGTATGATACATGGGGTGGCTGGATAGAAACTCAGGATGGGGGCTCTGTCTTAGGCGGTCAGCCCAGCCAATTCAGGACCCCCCACTTTGTAGATGTTAAGGTCTTGAAGCTGAAATATGAACAAGAGACAGGGGTGGGTGAGAGAGGTCGAGAGAGCGGAGACAGGCAGTGTTGATGATATAAGGCTTATGGGTAATTAGAGGTGTGGTTGAGGTGAGCTGTGGTTTGAGAAGGCGGTTGATGTGTGGTCCCAGTAGGATGGTCTCAGTGAAATGTGGACCCTTGACTTAACGAAATAATTATTTTGTGATTGGTTCCTCTACAGTGAAGGACCCCAGCCCTGAGGAGCTCCTGAAGCAGCTGCAGGAGGAGCGAACCTGTAAAGTGTGCATGGACAAACTGGTGTCCATTGTATTCATCCCGTGTGGTCACCTGGTGGTGTGTGGAGACTGTGCTGCCAGCCTGCGCCACTGCCCCATCTGCAGAGCTGTCATCAGGGGCAGTGTGCGTGCATTTATGTCCTGAAGGGTCAGGCTAGTCCTTATAGTGGTGTTCAATGAGTGCTGGATTTATATTTCCTTCTGTCACACTTTTAAAATATTGGAGTTTGATAATAAATAAACTGAATCAAAACTCATTTATTAACGTTGCTTTTATGGCAATATCTTGGCAAATCAAAATTTACTCTAAGGGAACTGGTTTGAGGAGTTGTCCATCAGTGTAAGCCTCTAATATAAAGGCACAGACCTGAATTAAACATAGTAGTATATGGTATGAATATGATTACAATTCACTTCATTTTATTAACAAACATTTATTTACAAAAACACACAATACAACAATGCACAAACAGGCTTGTTCAGTCAGACACCACAAATAAACAGAAATACAAACAAGTCAAATCATATATAAAGAGGTGGATTTTGTTCGGTTACACATTCACAACCTACTATCTCCAGTAGTCTCTGGAAGGCTCTACCAAGAGGAAGACTGCTCTGATACTTGAAGATGAGGTGATTTTTTTTTTTTTTACTTAAGAAATGCTACAGAAATTCATTCAAGAGTGCATAAACTGCTCAGAGAGGTTGGTCACAGGCCGACAATATGATCTTTGTAATAATTGTTAAATATTCAGAGAACTAATAAAATACTGCAATCAATTTGTGCTATAGAAAAAGTACTATTAACATTCATTCTACATAAAATATGCCCATTCAAAGAAAATAAGGTTATGCGTGAGCAGCTTTACAATTTGTACTTTATCACTTTTAACTCCAGGGGGCAATAAAGAGTAACAAATGAAATGTTAATGGACCCAGGCAAAACATGTACTGAAAAGTGCAATAGGTTTATTTTCCCCAGATCTTACTTGTATTAAGTTAGTACATTTTCACAATAGTCATACAGTCAGAGTTGTAAAACATGCTATTTTTAAACAATATGAATATTTGAACACTTGATAGTTTGAGAGATTCTTGCAGCCCCATCTCCACCACGGTACTTTCTTTCGCGGCTTTTGTTAGAAGATGCTGACCTTTGTAATTTGCCATTGGTGAAATATCCCTCATTAGAAGAAGTTTTGAATCTCAAATGAGCTCAATGGATACAATAACATTTCTTGAAAGTTAAAAATACGCTGCAGTGTAACCTCTTGTCAGAGTTGTGAGTATTTGGAATGGCAGATTCAAAGTCAGTGAAAACAAAGCTGCCTTGAACAAAGCCTCTGAAATGCTGGCTCTTTGAGGTTTCCAGAAATAAAATATGCCAGTCTGTGTGTTTGGACTTTTTAATCTTTGCATTCAACTAATCTTTTCTTGCTTCATTATTTACATTTCTTGACAGGATTGGTTCTTTTGTTACATGACCCTATGGTACCCAGTGGTACCTCTTGTCTCTTCCTGCACTATTTTTGTTTAAAATCTTAGCATAGAATAAACAGGCAGAGCAAAATAGTCCACGTTATTTAAGATGAACTGTGTAATTGCCCCTAAAGCCAAGCTTTGAACCAGCAATAACAGAAAAAAACATTGAGGCACAGACTCTTGGCAAACATGAAATGACTCAAAGTTGTGCCAAATCTGAGCCTACAATGAAAACCTCTCAAGTGTCATGCATAGCTCCTTGTAATGTTTTCTTATGGGGCTGAAAACAACAGCATACTCAAAACAATCATGAATTCAAGAAACAAGAAAATTATATGGACAGCTCAAGCAAGATGTCTGGGAAAACTTGCAGCATCACATCCATGGTCTTCTCATTTACGTAGACCTAAAAAAACAGAAACAAGAGCAATGGTTAAGAGCTGTGTATACCATTATAAGATTTATACTGTATACTATAATTCTGAGTTCACACTCTTTATAAACAGGTAATTACAAAAAAATATCTATAAGTGTGTTAAAAGTATATTTAATAATCCACCAGATGAATGGCTAAGGATAATGATAAGGGTGTAGTTACGTAGCCAAATCAATAAGACAATAAAACAATAATTGGCATAAATGTAAAACAGCCTGCATATCGCAAAGGCCCAAGACTGTTAAGGCTTTACTACACTGTGCATATTTCCTTTAACTCTTTTAAATATTTTTGTGCTTTGTTTTTTTTTTTTTGTTTGTTTTGTTTACATGCCTGATATATTTCTAACCCTAACTTCAAGTAACTCATTACTTCATTGCACTTTAAATCATATTTGTGTAATCCCTCAGTCATCCAGGTATGATCCATCGCAAACAAAATATTAAGTTCTGGCAACTGGACAAAAGTTTAAGAGTTGCTCATGTTGTTGATCTAATAATAAGGGATTTACATACTGAGCACTTGTTTTTTGTCCCCAAAGAGAGGCACAACTGTGTATGTATACAGAGAATTGAGTGTGCGTACAGATTTTAGCCCCCACAATATGAACACACAATGCTACAATGGCAGTAACATAAAAGGCCATTTCATTCCCTTAAACTGTGACAGGATGTAGCTTGTTCAATGTGAAGTTTATTCCAAAGACACCGGACATGTTTCCAGTCTCCGGATACTGAACCGGCAAACACACAGCGGGATTGGGCCTCAGCACAATACTCAGGCAGGTAGTAACAGAAACATCTGAATGAAAATGGTAATAATAATACTTCAAACCAAAATGAGGAGTGAGGGTGGAACAATGATACTTACGGATACATGGGCTTTAAGAGGAGATGGGATGGTTTCTCATTGACATGGTACAGAGGGAATGGGTCAAATCCACCAATAAAATCAACTGAAACAAATATAAATAAAATAATAAGACATGCAAATGGTAAAAGTGCAGGTAAAATAAGCTATGGAAATGAATGTGGTGTGAGCTTCATGAAAATAAATAAAACTTGCAGTAAAAATATACAGAGCACCTTTAAGCTTATTGTGTTTTATCCATATTGTGTATGGTTTGAATATTTTGACATTTAACTCATACACACTCACTGATATTTTAATTTATTGAGCGGTTTACAGGAGTGGCATTTTTTCAAATGATGTGTGTCTTTTAACTCTGGACTATGCATCTGTAGATGTGCCATCTCATTTTTGGGGTCCAAATTTACAAATAGTCAACTTGACAAAAAGCACAGTGTGTTTCCTGCCCTTTTAAATATTTTCTAACTGATATTTTCCTTTTTGTCTCAATGAACTGTACCCTTTTTCACGAGCACCCTTAATTATATGGATACTACCAGTGTCTTTGCTGTTTTTGAATTTATACAGTCAATTCTTAACTTACATACAATAAAGATGATTGCCATAATTGCACAATAGTTACATGTATTCATAGTGAAACCTTTGTTGTTGTTGTTGTGTGTTGTGGATGTATTTATTTAGCCTAAAATATGATCCTGTATTTGGATGAATGTGGAAGGACACACAGATAAAAAGTGTCATGCTTGTACCACAATGCTGCTGACGCAAGGAAAGACTTTTTGTCATGAAAGAAGAGCTTGTGGCTCTGGAGGCTGCACAAAACCCCAGAGCGAGGAGCTGTTAGGACAGAGTGCGTCACGCCTGTCCGCCTCTCTGACAGGGGGGCCAATGAGATTAGGTGAACTGTCCAGATGCAGCCAGGCAATAGATGCAAGATGGGATCAAAACAACCAAAAACAAGCTTACAAGGAAAAGTAAACTCTAACTCAGAGGCTTCAAGGGGAAAGAATTTGTGGAAGATCAACAAAGGCCAAATCAATGACATCCTGATAAGCAGGTGTGCACTGCAGTGTAGAGATATGAGCAGGATGAGAGCACGCCACATGTCCTGCAGAGGAGAGGTCCCCTTAACTTTGACCCCAGACAGACGGACTGTTTGATCCTATGGTTTTATCTGCAGACCAAAACACAAACAGCCCAGAATGGCACTTCCCTGCTCTTTGTAGTGCAGGTGATGTAGTCATGGAAATAGTAAAAAGGTCAATATTTTTTAGATACAAGCAGGATTATGTCTGACAGATTTAACTATTCAAGCCTTAACTGTACACGCCTTGTGATGACTGAGCTGCAACATATTAACATCATTATTGGCAATGTTATTGAGCATGACAGGTGTGGGAAAAGTGTCATCAACCATCAGAGCTGACAGGGATATTACGGGTGGCTGTTTTGCATGATAAAACATAGCCCAACAAAGCCATTACAGGGGGCAAAAGTGAGTGTCTTATAACTGAAAAGGAATAATATTCCTTATGGCACTTATATATTATACTTGATTCCTACTTGATTTGGGAAAAGATTAATATACTTGTTAGCCCCGTTAGAGACGCATTACATATGTCACAACCAAATATCAGCGATTGGTTAAATAAATAAAAAAAGTACCTGCCTACTGTCGAGTGAAGAAATTTTAATGCTGCAGGTCAGACAGTTTCCACGAAGTGAAACCAGCTGATGAATCAGACTACTTCCCTATAGCTGTTGAACACAAGAGGATGGACTCCAAACTTTTAAAATATTTTCTATCTTTCTCATTGTTCCCGTGTTGCTGCTGACGAACTTTGAATTTCCTTTGGGATCAATAAAGTATCTTTTACATAATGGGATGATGAACTGGTTATTGAACACTTTGCAGTTCTTAACTTTGTGGTGTGTGAGAAAGTGTGCAGATGTGCAGATTTGTGCCTTTGCTTCTACCCCAGGGCGGCCTAATAATGATTACAATACAATAGCCTATAGTGCTTTGAAAGGATTCTTACGCTTGAAAAATGCAATACCAATTATAAGTAAATAAATAAATAATAAATATATTATCTTAGCATTTGTTACATAAAATAGATTAATTCAACCTGTCTTCTGTTTATTTTAAATGTGGTGCTCTAATCTTTTTCACCGACCCCTCCATTCAGTCCTGATCTGTCCCTCTGTAGCGTATCTGAGGATTTTCTGGGGATGTGACTCAGCATAGAGACCCGGCAGCATAATTAGCCGACATGCTAAAGTGAGCTTATCCTAGCACTACGCGGCTAACTGCGTGACCTACTTTACAAAGCGGATTTTCCCCAGCTCTGCCTCTTTGCCGGTGTGCCTGCTCTCCACTGATAAGTGCGTGGAACAAATCTGACACAACAAACAGTGACTCAGGATGGGCACTGGACCAGACCCACAGAGATACACTGGTGCAAGTCTCTGTGTGTGTGTGTGTGTGTGTGTGTGTGTGCAGACAAGAGCTTTGGAAATAATGTCAAACAGCATCAAGCAGTCTGCCAAAGCTAATATGGTTGATGTTTCAAAAGGGTGATTCAGAGTGCCTGGTTTAACACATGTTTGATGTGACACTGTCATTTGAGCACTGTGTTGGTGTACGCCCAATATTGTCTCATTTCCCTTCATTGTCTTGCCTGTAGTAGTGCTGAAAAAAAAAATGTAATTGTAATATTTCTGACAAGCACTGTGATTGTGATTAGACTTGCAGTTCATGTTTTAATAATAGGACTCTGTTCAAAGTTTACATTTTAAACACCAGTAGAAGAATAGATCAAAAGACTATTACATAAAAGTCTATAATATAATATAACTGACAAACAAGAATCACATTTAAGAACATTTGTAGAGCAAAGCTACAAGGTTAGCTGTTTTATATAGATTTCTTCTGTTTGTGGGGAAAATGATGGTACTCTGAAAATGGAAGCCTTTGCAATTTCCTAATTCAAATTGCCATTTTGATTTGACTGTGATTACTATATAGACTATAGAACACAGAAAACTACACTCAAACTAAAGTTATCTGGCCTCTGTCAGCACTATCTCCCAAAAATACAGATATTTTAAAATGGCTTTTGTTTTCAAAAGATAGATCTACAGGCTACCAAAAAACAAAACAAAAAAACAACAACAAACAAACAAAAAAACAAACAGAAAAAAACCCCCAACAATGTACACTTAGGGATGCACCAATCCTGCTTTTTCAGTTCTAATACTGATACTTCGACTTCATGTATCTGCCCATACCTGATTTATTCAGTATTTAAGCAGGTAAGTCAATTGAGAACACCTTCTCATTTGCAATGATGACCTGGCCAAGAGGCAGTACAAAATGTGCCCATACCTGATATTAACCAATACTGGTGGCACATTTTCAAACACAGTTAACTCACTCAAGAGATCCAAATGTGTTATGCAACTGTTATTTATCCTTCAAATAACTACTGAAGAGCTTCATATGAATAAAAGTTCAAACATTATGAGATGTTCAAGGAAAAAATCAGCCACTAAATAGTCTTATTATATCCAATTAAATGCCCATCAATATTGGCTTAACCAATATCCTGCAAATCTTTCAGTATTGGTGTCGATATTAAATTCCAGTATCGGTATCATGCATACCATGAGCACTTAGTGAATTTGTTTACATTTAATTTACATTTTCTTGCCAACAAAAAAACAAAACAAGTTTTTGGGATGGACATTGTTAATGAGGTTGATGAAATCGATAGTCTCATAAACCAATACATTAATCTTACATTTACAGTACTCGCTTTTAGGAGCTGCAGGTGAGGCCCCACAGCTGCAGGACTCATAAATATATTGACAGTCTCATTTTCACTCTGACATTCATTGACCAATATAAGCAGCACTGTCCTTGAGGGATTAAACAATGTGATTTCATGACACTTTTCCATGGTCTACTAAAACAACAATCTGTTTTGTTCTAATGAGAGACAGGGTTAAGTAAACACTGTAATTTGTCTGTCTTATTACCTTCCCCTAACTTCCCAGGGTGCAGCTTGTGAGCTCATTGACCAGTGCTAGTCTAATGATCCTGTCAGAATGAGACCTAAAATTTTTTGCAAGTCCACACCTGGTTAGAGGCTATTCAGTAACAAGAGAGATTGTCATTACTTTATGTGTGTGGGAATCAAGAAGAGAACTACAAAGCAAAATAAAGTAAAAGTTGGAAGATGCTGAGGCAGGCAGGAGCTCAAGAGAAATGCTTTAATCTACGCATCAAACAGAGATAAAATGGGAGCGCAGTGTGCCTGTTCTGGTAACAGAGATGTATGTCTCTGAAAGAACAAAACGTCTTGTACAAATCACTTATTACAAAGTGTTGAAGCTAATGTAACAATGTCTCCAAAGAACACATTTGAGAAAACTAGATTCTTATTTGATATTACTGGCCAATTTTACCCTAAGGTATTTTATAATTAACTATATAAGCTTTTGGGGTTATGTTTGGTGCTTTAATGGGGATGTTTTATTTATATATAATTAGGATATTGGTGCAGCGTCTGCAGTGATGCGGTCGCTGCATCGGACAGTTGTGGTGAAGAGGGATCTGAGTCGAAAGGCAGTCAGTCTACATTCCTACCCTCACCTATGGTCATGAGCTCTGGGTAATGACTGAAAGGACAAGATCGCGGATACAAGCGGCCAAAATGAGTTTCCTCCGCAGGGTGGCTGGGCGCTCCCTTAGAGATAGGGTGAGGAGCTCAGTCACACGGGAGGAGCTCGGAGTAGAGCCGCTGCTCCTTCATGTTGAGAGGAGCCAGCTGCGGTGGCTCGGGCATCTGTTCCGGATGCCACCTGGACGCCTCCCTTGGGAGGTGTTCTGGGCATGTCTCACCGGGATGAGGCTCCGGGGAAGACCCAGGACACGCTGGAGGGACTATGTCTCTCGGCTGGCCTGGGAACGCCTCTGGGTTCCCCCGGAAAAGCTGGAGGAAGTGTGTGTGGAAAGGGAAGTCTGGGAGTCCCTGTTCAGACTACTGCCTCCGCGACCCGGCCCCGAATAAGCGGAAGAAAATGGATGGATGGATGGATGGATAATTAGGATATTTGGTTTAACATACTAAATAAAAGGCTCTGTGGCAGATATGTTTGAAAAAAATTGTCTTCCCGAGTACAGATACATTATATATGCAAAATATGTCCATTGTGTGCACTGTCTACGCCTAGTGATAAAGCATTTTATTGCCCAATAATTAGGAAGTGTCTATTAGCATGCTAGTTGTTGTGACAACAAATCTATCAAATCAAACCAAACTAGCTCAAAATGCTCAGTTCCACCTTGTGATATTATGAAGCTAACTTTGAAGCTACATTTTACCTTTTGTTTAGTAGAGACTGGACATTCCGTTGATTCTAGCGAAGGTGCATGGAGTTTAAAAACACAGTGGAGCACCTCCTGTATTACCCTGAATTATCATAGGGTGGACCTGAGCACAAATATGCAGGATTTGTGTGTTAAACATGTGAAGGAAAGAAAACTCCTGGTATGTTTGTGATGAGGAAAAGAACATTATAACATACATAGTTCAGATAATGTATATGTAGCTCGGAAAAGTCAAAAACCGGAGAGTGAAAAAATAGCAGTGTTTTTTCCAAGTTGGAGCGGGCCCAGTGGGGATTACTTGGGGGTGACTGGTGATTAAGTGGTACAGACTGGAGCAGAAAGGGCCTGTTGGGTGTGGACGTTCAGAGCTCACAGACAGTGAATGCCTGGTATGTGACCGCCTAAGACGAGGAGATCTACAGTAGGGCATGTAAAGACGACACACGGCCACAGCTTTGAGTCGAGTTTGTTCAGCCAGAGGAAATTTTAATAGGGCAAGATCTGGAGGTATTTTTCAATCTCCTACTAAATATTTGAGAAAGTGCTTAGTTGTGAGGTTACTTTGGGTTACTGGTACTCATTAGGATTGGATGTAGTGGAAGGTATTTGGCTGACCTTTCTTAAAATATTGACCTGAGGCTAATGGGGTTACGGTCGCCTAGACATCTCTGGTTTCACCAAGTGTTCTGATGTTTCTTTTTTCCTTTCACCATGACTAAATATTAGTTTGGGCAGTTTCATGACATTACATTCAGCAGTGGTAACATCATAGTTTATTTATTGACAATGTGATAAAGTCATATCCGTATGATAAATATACAGTAAAATCATTTTGAATACAAGATAACTATTTTTATTTACTAATATTTGTTGTAGATACGACATAAATAATATTTTTGTGTCATCAGTTTAAATGGGCCTGATCTGTTATAATGCTGTTTCCTTCTCAAAAACAAACTTTGTTGGAGTTGTGTTTTATTTAATTAACACATAATTCACACACGCTGCATATTTAAACTGAGTTCTGATGTCATGTGGTAATAAAGGACTTGCTCCACTGTTTTAAAACTCCACACACCTTCACTAAAATCATTTGGATGATTTCAGCCTCCCACTGTCAATCTCTACTGAACAAAATATAAAAGATAGCAGTTAACTTCAAAAATGCTGTTTCATGACATAACAAGTTGGAATAGAGCATTTTGAGCTTTGGAGATGGAGGCAAACTAATAAACCAGGATTACCTACACTTGTGTGAATCAAACAAGTCAGGGTATGTTTTTGAGTTACTCTCAGGAGTAGCAGCATTATAAAATGTGGTGGGAGGGTGACAGCGCCATCTGCAGTCCGACTTCCTTGTGACAGTATCCCAGGTGTGTGAGAGTAAAAAAGCCCCCACATCCCGGTTTATAGTCCTGTGGGCATGTTTCGATTCCCTAAGGGTCTTTTTTTACTGTCACACATCTGGGATACTGTCCTGAAGAAGTCAGACTGCAGGAAAACCTGTATAAATCAGCTGACAGGACATGTCACAGCAACATCATGTGACTCTGACGAAGACCTCTAGTGAGCAGTCCAAACTGTCAGTTATGAAAACAACCTCTTAGTCTGAAAAAAGAACCTAATAACATAAATTATCAGAAGACCAAATGAACCTCATTGGACTAGCATTATAACATGGCTTATAGATCACAAAAATCCATTCTGTGTAATATAAACCAGGACCGTGTAATCAGTTGTGATACTTAAAAATAATCTAATCAAACCAAAATAAAGCATAAAATTTAAAAACAGATGGAGATTATGCTGAGGTACAGCAGGTAGATGGGGGAGGGGTGCTGCTCTGTGAGGATAGCTGGAGTGACAATCATAGCGGAGCATGCAGAGATGAAAGTGAAGAAATGAAGAAGGCACAGTGCATAACAGCAGGTCTTCAATCACATAAGCCAGACCACAGAGAAACTCAAGCATGAGGCCCGTGTGTGTTTAGGGGGTGGGGGCAAAAGATGTAAGAAGATGGTAACACTGAAATATGCGATTTGTTGACATTATTTCTCAGGCATTTGTGAGTAACTTACAGCTATCTTCCTCTTCAGTCATGGCGCTGACAACGTAGCAGGCATAGACGAAGCCAAGGAGCTGTGAAGACATAATAATACACAAGGTTAACAAATGAGAATATGACAAAGTGGTAGTTAGCAGATTGTCAATTTCAAAGTTTGTCAAAGTGGTAACAATAGGGCATTGATTAGGAACACAGGTATGACAATGTTATATTCAAATTAAATGGCCCATATTACACTATTTTCTAATGTTCAGAAAATACTGTAATATGGACCATTATTTTTTATTTATTGTTTCCTTATCAAAAACATACCTGAAATTGTGTTTTGTTTCATTCACACATGTTTAACACACAAATCCTGTTTAGGCTGAATTCTTCACGCCAACAGAAAACACTCTGTTCTACCTTGTGATGTCATATGGTAATACAAGGAGTACACCCACCTTCCCTTGTATCATTTGGATAATTTCAGACCTGGAATTGCCAAACTCTACTGAAATTAAGGTAAAAGATGGCTGATGAACTTGAGAACTACCACTATATGACATCACAAGGTGGAACAGAGCATCAAACATATGCGAAAGAAACAAAACACAACACTGGATATGTTTTTGAGGAGATAACAACATTATAACTCACTCTCTAGGTCACAAAAGTCAATTTTGCGTAAAATAGGACCCTTAAACTTACTAAGTGATAGAAAGAAAACTCTGATCCCATTTCATCATATACATATACATAAAAAAAAGTCAACTAAATCATTTTCAATCATTAAAATGTATAGAGTATCTGCACATTCATGTATTATGTATTTTCTTTTCCATACTTCCTTTCAGAATCAAACGTTTCTGATAAGCACTTAGTCGTTTCAAACCTCTCCATATGCTCCACTTTACCAAGCAACGGACAAAGACTTCCGCTCCTGTGTGCAGCCTGTAGTGTAGAGCGTGTGATCCTGTAAATGACTGTCATCGACTCTCTGGGACAGTCCCTCTCCACAATGAAGCACCCTCCCATCATCTGGCACTGGGCCATGTCAATTAAACCAAGCAGCCTCTTCTGTGCTCTGTGATGCCAGGTCTGTCTGCACGCCAAAAGGACAGATACACGAGCCCATCCACGGAGGAAGTGCTGTGTGTTTGTGGTGTGACTGCTATTTCTACAACAGTCATTTATCCCTGCAGTATAAGCTCACTTAGGTGTAATTATAATAGGGCCAAATACTATTTAGGGACCATTCATCTTTGAGTTAAAGCTATTTTTAAGTATATCATTTTGGCTGAAGCTGCAATTAGTCTGTTCATTGGTTTGTGCTTTCTGTTATATATGCAACATTCTCTCATTCAGAAGATATATTTTGTGTCAAATTGTTAAATTGTAAATCACTCCTAATTTTTCATCTTTACCTTACAATTGCAGGAATAGAAGTGTCTCTCAAATATGAACTACTACTACTATGATAATGCATTATTTGATTCATATAGCACATTTCTGGATGCTCAAAAATGTTTTACAATGCATTATTCTTTCACTCCACTTGGTGAAGGTAAACTACCTCTAAAGCCACAGCTGCTCTGGCATTAACAAGCACCACATTGGTCGCATTGTTTAAATAGAGCTGTTCCACCTTCAAGGCACACACACTTAATGCACTCAAATCACTTTATACATGAAAAAGTGGGTGAAGTGTCTTGCCCAAGGACACAATGACAGAATGCAATGGTCTGAGCTGGTTTCAGACCAACATTCTAATCACTCAGAACTATTCTATTTGTCCAAACCATAAACAGAATTGTCTGATCACCAAAAAGCAAAGTGGGTAGAGTGTCCTGCCCAAGGGCACAACTACAATGCTACTTGGCAATGGTGTGAGCTGGGATTAAACCAACAATCTAACCAATCACAGGGTTCATATTCTTTTTCACTGACAAAATTTCAAAACTTTTCCATGACTTTTTCATGGCCTAAAGTGAATTTTTCATGACTTTTGGGCACCTACATGTGTAGAATTGATCAGACATTTAGGGCTAAATATGAAATGTTAAGCCTTTCCACTCACCTTATGGTTTGGTATTATAGTTTTTTTAACATTCAAAATACTGTCTGTGAATTTATTGTCGTCTCTTTCAAACAAAAGGCACATATGTTCAGAAGATATACTAAAATTACATGACTTTTCCAAAACTTTTGTTGAATTTACAAAATCTCATGACTTTTCCAGGCCTGAAAAATGACATTTTCAGTTTCTATAACTTTTCCAGGATTTCCATGACTGTGGGAACCCTGAACTACAGTACTATTCTGTTTGCCAAAAAACATATACACAAAACTGACTGGTCACTTATTAAATGCTTAATATATAAAACAAACTTCACATTAATAAACAAAAGACAATGGCTACCTCTGTGTTCAACCTTGATAAGACATTGCCATTTTCTCAGTCATTTTCCTATCTAATTGCCGGTCTCACCCCATCCATTACACTGGCACCAAAATGGAGCTGAATTAGCATATGTATAAGGGCAGTGTCAGACACAAGATGGTGTTAACAGCAGGGGGCACTCTAGGTTGTGTGTGCATGTGTGTGTCCCAGTGAGTTAATATGCAGCAGTGTGGTTCATTTACATAATGGACCCTGATTGCTGTTGTGGTCTGGGATTTAAAACATGCTACGGCAAACATGTCATAGCAGCAAGATTCAAAATAGAATGAAAAGAGAAATTACAGGGTGTTTTGGGGTGAATGGCATGTTTCTGAAATTGTAACAAACAATGACTGGGTTGCTAAGTGTTGACTGGTGTGACCAAATGTTTATGTGGTTATGAAGTAATCTTACAGTAAATGTAACCAAAACAGTGATACAGACTATTATTATGGACTTTTTCAAGTGTAGAGCAGTGGTGAAAGAAGTACTTGGTTTTGATACTTAAGTAAAAGTATAGAAAGTAACCCTGTTACCAAACAAGGTAAAGCCTAATCTTAAACAGGTCTGTAACATTTGATTGGTGAAGACATAATCCTTATATTAGTCAATGCTAATCAGAGAAGTTTTGCTTTTTTGCTCCAGGCTACGCTGTCCTGGAAATAAGACCATGTCCCCAATAACAACTGACAGCTGAACTCAATTTATCTCACTGCATTTTGAGAATGTTACACAGCACACAGTGCTTTAGAGTCATCGTGTCATTGATGTAAAATTCATGCCATAATAGTTGAATCCTCCTTCTGCATTGTCATGATAGGGAAATTATTTGGTTTGGAAAAAAGCAACTGATAATGCTCATAAGGATGCAGTGATCCAGTTTTTTCAGTTTCGATACCGATTCTGATACTATAGCTTTAAGTATCTGCCGATAGCTGCGCAACGAGTGAAAACAGATGTGCTACAAATGTGTTATGTAGCTGTTATTTATGCCTCAAGTAACTACAGAACAACTTTGTGTAAATACAGTTTCAAACATTCTGAGACTTTCTGGGCCACCTACAACCAGTAAATAGTCTTATTGCATCACGTTATATGTCCAACCAGGATAGTGCCTGAACCGATATTTGGAAGCCGATATCCAATACAGCAAATTTTCTGCTATCAGCACCGATATCTGACACCATTATCGGATTGGTGCATCCTTAAATGCTTATGAAAGCTATTCTAACAGTGTTCTTGCACCACCTCAGCAAAGTGATAGCTTTAAAAGTAATAATAAACTAATACTAATAAAAAATCTATTTGAATTACTTGGAAGTAAGGATGCATTTCAGATTAAATCCATAACCAGAGCTGGACTAAAACAGTAATACCGTTTTGCGTTTTAAATAATGTATATAATTGACAAGACTTCCCAATGGATAGGAAAAATTCAGCTTTTTGTGCTTTTTCTCCGTGTGAGACGAGGCCCCACTGTATGAATGAAGATGTGAGAAGGAGGCCACCTGCTGATACAAAGGTTACGTGTATTTGCATAAGTTAATGAGGGTTAGGTTAAACTAAGTGTGCTTTCCAATACTCGTCTGCTCCAGTTAAATAAGACTATAAAATTATCCCCGAAAAATAAACAAGATTGCATCGCAACTGATGCTGCCAATGGTTCAGATAATTACCTATATGCGGCAAATCCATAAAACAACTGTAAACGATTACATTAAAATTCACCAGAGCTTGTGATCTAGTTGGCAGGAGCTGTATGAAGGATCATGAGCCCTACTTCTTGTTTATACTAATCTTATCAATCTTATCAATTAGCACCAAGGACTCTAGCAAAAGCAGAGCCTCCATCTTGGCTTTATTGACAGCTATTCACTACAAGCCAATCCACAAACTCATTAAGGCACTATTGATTTGGGGTCGGAGTCAGGCATGGACTTTGCCCTGAATACTAAGATTGTGTTTACTACAACGAAATGGCATACAGATGTTTTGCAGGTTAATTACATTGCACCTTCTGGAGTATGCAGGACTGTGTGTGTTTGGCAGCTGCATGTTTAATGACAAAAACATGATGAGATAGGGACTGTTGAGAGCCCATGCACCTGTTCTTACCCATCAGCCCCTCCTGTTTCTCTATGTATATCTCTGTGTATGTTCACGAGTGCACAGCTACAGTGGCTCCTGTGGGGTTAGTGAGGGTCTAAGATGCTGATTTGCATCTTTCTCATCAAATCACAGCACATGAGGGCGTTAAGACGAGAGGTGGCCAATTATCCTCTGATCCTTCAGTGTGAATGTGCTTATCCCTATAATAGTGATGAGAAGGAACAGGACAGACTACAATCAGGAAATACCACTCCATTTGAGAAAATCTATACTACAACACCATACAGCGCTATAGTAGTAATACAGTAAAGTAGTACTCAGTGTGATCTTACTAAAGATGCACAGATCCAGCTTTTCTAGCTCCAATACTGATATAGATACTTTAGCATCTGCCAATACCGTAAGGGTCGTGTAAGGACTGAGAATGGCATTTTCCCCCAGATTATTACAAATTTGATCCAATTCTGTTATGTAATTGTTATTTATCCTGTAACAAATAACTCAACAGCTTTGTGTGAAGCAAAATTCAAACAATGAGCCAGT